ATAGAAACAACAACATGTCTATAAACCTATTGTACATACTTTGCACGGTTGCTTACTAAAATACTGTATCTTCCAATCATATATTTGGTAGACAAATCTCACTGAATGAGAATAAAAANAATCACTGCATATTAAATAGAAAAGAATACCTGTATTGAACTTTTACCCAATAACGAGTAATACAATATTGAATCATTCAGTAATGAGTAAATAAATATTGACTCAGTCAGTAATGAGTGATAATATATTTACTCATTCAGCAATGAGTAACAATAAATTGATAAGTCAGTAACGAGTAATATTATATTGACTCATTCAGTATTGCGTGATAATATCTTGACTCATTCAGTAATGAGTAATGATATATTGACTCATTCAGTAATGAGTAATGATATATTGACTCATTCAAATATAAGATATAATACATTGACTCATTAGCAAAAGGGAAAATATATTCAGATTCATTCAGTAATGAGTTATAACATATTGACTCATTCAGTAATGAGTAAAATATATTGACTCATTTCGTAATGAGTAATAATTTATTGACTCATTCAGTAATGAGTAATATTATATTGACTCATTCAGTAATGAGTAAAATATATTGACTCATTCAGTAATGAGTAAAATATATTGACTCATTCAGTAATGCGTAAAATATATTGACTCATTCAGTAATGAGTAAAATATATTGACTCATTCAGTAATGAGTAAAATATATTGACTCATTCAGTAATGAGTAATAAAACATTGACTCATTCAGTATTGAGTCATGATATATTGACTCATTCAGTAATGAGTAATAATATATTAACTCATTTAGTAATGAGTAAAAATATATTGACTCTTTCAGTAATGAGTAAAAATATATGGACTCATTCAGTAATGAGTAATAATACATTGATTCATTCAGTAATAAGTGATAATATATTGACTCATTCAGTAATGATATATTGAGTCATTCAGTAATGAGTAATAATATATTGACTCTTTCAGTAATGAGTAAAAGTATATTGACTCATTCAGTAATGAGTAATAATACATTGATTCATTCAGTTATAAGTGATAATATATTGACTCATTCAGTAATGAGTAATAATATATTGACTCATTCAGTAATGAGTAAAAAATATATTGACTCATTCAGGAGTGAGTTATGATATATTGACTCATTTAGTAATAAGTGATAATATATTGACTCATTCAGTAATGAGTAATAATATATTGACTCATTCAGTGGTGAGTTAAGATATATTGACTCGATATGAATGAGTAACAATTAGACTACAACGTATTGACTTGATCTGTGATAACCAACAGTACATCGGATAAAAACCTCAAATCACTGACTTAAAAACACAACCCGAGGGTAAAAGAATTAAGCTAAGTAAAAACATGAATCGGTCTTATTTTATATGATTGAGATGAATAGAGTGATACGGGGATCTGATTTAATGCGTTGACATTTTCATATTAAAGACATGTATAAGCTTTCTTAAGTAGCTTACGAAAGATTTACATTTTCCATGACAAAAAAAGGAATGCATTTGAAAAAGGTCACAAACTAATATATCGGCATCACTTACCTGTGCCAAAAATGTAAGTATTCTCGCCCACAAGCTCGTAATTCGCTCCATTTGGCCGCCATATTTGGAACTTGATTGTGCCCAAAGCACCGATAACAACTTGCCATTTGTCAATTACTCCACAACAGTCAAACGTATAGCTGCTGGCTAGATACCCGATTCCTGCAATTATACACACTCTCGTTTACTAAACATGTGATCATAGTACATGTATATTAATTACAAAGTCAATCGCCAGGCTAGTTGTTTACATTTATTTTGATTTAATGGAAGTAAACCAGTTTCTGAAAGTCAATAGCATCCTAACTTGAAAAATCCTTAAATGTTGTGGTTGTAGTATGGTTAATTATGTAACGAGGGATTCAAAATGGTGAATCATATATCTGAGATGTTAATAGAAATATATATTCTGTACAGCTTGTTTGCATTCTTCTATGTTCGTCATAACACATTTATCATTCATAACAGTTCATTACTATTCTTATTTGTTTTCGATGTAAGACGACAGTTGATTGGTCAATCAAACTAATTCGCAATATACCGTCTGCAAATTTCTCATTTACATATGAAACTGGCGATAGTTAATTACGTCAATGACCTCGACTGAACCTGACACGTCATGAAATTGATTATTGATTGGTGGTGGGTGGAGGAAAGCCGGAGTTCCTGAAGAAACACTACCGACCTACGGTCAGTACATGGCGATTGGCCCTCGTAGGCCTTAGACCCGCGTCCCAGTGATGGAGTGCTAGTGATATCAGAATATCAGACGCCTTTACCACTTGGCCACCGCGGCACCCTTCAACCTTAAAATGATTGCCTTAATTTACAATTGAATTAAGCATTGTAATGATTGCATTTGTTTTCTCAGATTATATCAGATTTTTAACTCTCTGGCATTCCAGAAAGACAACTTGGAATCAATACGTATATCAATCACAGCAAAAGATTTCCAGAGAAAGTGCTTTTTCTTCGTAACGTTATAAAGAAAATATAACTTTTAAGACATTTGGGAAAAAAAATCAATGTAGGCAATAACATTTTGTATTATCCATCACATCTTCACAATTTTAGATTTATTTTAGTTTTAAAGGACAAAGTTGAATAAATTTAAATGAAAATTTCAAAATTGATATATAACTTTACATTATCTGTGCATCAATTGTAAGCATATAACCTTTACATGGTAGGCATTTCAATACTTTTAACAAATAAATCTGGGCCATCCTACAAACATTCCTTAATGTGTTTTAGAATAAGAAACGAGGAGCAAGTCGTCGTGGTATACTTTATAAAACATTATTTTGTCTGTTGGCTAATCATTCATGTCATTCATTATGTTTGAATCCGAAACGTGAAATTTGAAAATATTTATCAATTGGGTGGTAGAGATGATCGTGAATTAAATAAAAAAAATCCTGGCTTTTCATATGGTTTGATATTAAACAATTACTGACCACTTTCGATGAACTTATAAAAGAGCGTTCGATGTGCCTTATCCATCTTGGTAACGCTAATGACTGCCGCTAGGGGACGTGGTTAAGCAAACATGACGCAATATGCCAACACTCAGGCGGTACTTTAATTTATTCGCGTCGTTAGCATACTTGAAGACTATATTTACCATATTTTGTGTACCAACCAAACATGTCCTTTCCTTATCAAACAGTAAAGTAGACAGTATCTCATTTATTCATGAGACATCTACTGCCAATCAGCCTAAATACATTTACAAAGGAGCAGCCATGGACATTTATATGTATCAAACAAAATATCGTTCCATCATATCATCCTTAATTAGAACAAATATGATACTTTTAAAGTATAAAACAATGCATACGTCTATGCTTCTCTGCAACAAAAATAAAAATTACCTTTAGTCGTTACAATTTAATGTATTGCTTAATCTGTCATATTCCATTGTACCAATATAGTTACATCTATGAAACACTCACAACAATTTGTTTTCGAGATATTTTTCATGAACCTTGAACAAAAAAACAATGTTTTGCTTAATCTTAAACGTTTGTCTACTGAAAATATAGAAACCATTACTTATGATATATTACGAGCATATGTACTATATATATATTTATTGCAGCCTCTCTCATACTACCACATTAATTAGGTATTAATATCCCCCCTTCCCCACACACAAACACAATTTTATTGCACCAAACATGTGATATTGAAAGTGATTTAAGTGTTTATAAACTCTATTAGGGTGGCAATTTACATAGTTAAAAGTGTCTTTTCCAGAAGAGTGGAACATTAATACACGTTACTGTTTATATCATTACGTACCAGTGGCAGTAGTGTCAAGGTTGTCTTGGAAACCGCCGGGCGCAGCATTCCCAACAGTCTTGGTGCCACAGGACTGTGAGGCCACTGAATTTACAAGATTATATAAAAGTGGATAATTTCGCAGTGTGAAAATATCGCGAAAATACCCATAGTCGAATATTTATTGATATGGATAAGAAATAAAGATAATATATATATAGGATCTTACTTGAGTTTCCATTTCATATTAGATTTATGAAACGAGTCCAAGAATTTTTCAATTTAGCGAACCTCTGGCGAGCTAAAATGAAAACTTCGTGACGAGTTTTATAAATTTTGTATACAATGAAAACGAGTGTAAGATCCTTTTTATCACATAACCAAGATTTGTGGCATTTATTCGTGCAAAACTACAATTTTCATGCAACCTTGAAATGTAAAAAGCCGCCATTTTGACTTCAGTGCGTAAGTCTGTGACGTCATGTACTTGTCCTAGTTATGACGTCACAGTTGAAACAATTGAAACTTACAACCAATCACTGGGCTGGTAGGTCATATTAAACGGGTTTATACACAAACATGGGTATATTCACTGGATATCACAGTAAATATAGAAAATATAGTTATAGAATATCTATATTTAAGAACAATCACCGATTCGAAAATTTCCAAACATTAAGATCGGTTCAACGAATCACATCTCGAACATTTTAACATGCAGAAAACCAACGTATCCTTATATACTTAAAAACTATGATCAATAATCTGAAACACAATGGTTCATACTTTTATACCTATTTTGTATGGCAAACAAAGTACCAGTGATCGCATGATATATTCCTTTTATATTCCCTTCTTCACTTTTTTCATATACCATATGTATGTAAATTGATACAATTAAACGAATACACCAATTAAAAAAGTCGATGTGCAACTATAATAAACTGCTGGAAACTTAAACGATTATAAACAACACGACAATACAAAGTCAAAGATACTGTTTTGGCTCCCATAAAATACAGTTTACATTGGGTCCATGTTATTATCAGGATAACATTATATTATTTAATACAACCATTGACTAAACACAAATTCCCAGTCAATATAGCCATAAGGTTATATTCACAATAACGTAGCCGATACAACAAGAAGGTTATGCAGATATTTGTCAAAACACAAACACACAACTGATACACCCATTTTGTCATACAGACGATGCCAAACCGAAATATTAAGTTCATACAATCATTAAGTTGTACATATATCAATAAGTCATATATACCTAGCTAGTACATATTAAAATAAAAATATCAAATATATTGATTATTTATTAATAATAAGAAAATAGTTTTCTAGCAAAAAAACAAGATTTGTATCCCTAGCATTTTGAACGTTTCTCAAAACTTGCTCTATTGAATTAATTAGTGTGTGTATTTTCAGTACGCGTTTGTATACGACCTCATGATCATTCTTGTTTTAATGAAAAGTATGAGTAGTTTCAAAAAAAAGTGGTCATAACTTATGTAAAATTCAATAAATGAAACAAGGTGTTAAAGGAATGATACTGAAGTATCATTATTAGAACACATGATGTAACCCACAACATTTTTATAACGATATCTAAAAGAAGAAAAGCAATATGTGGTTAGTATATATGTTCATGTAAGTTGTTTATTTCATATGCTAGATACATGTTTACATTTAAATGATTTTTTAATACCGTCAAGATGTTCTACTAAATGCCTCTGTCGTAATAAGATACTTTATTATTTTTCTTAGTACTGTGTATATTAACAAAAATATATGGTTTATTTTAAATATTATATTATATCATAATATTCCTCTTACCTTTAAGCCCACACAGACACAGCAAAAATGCAGAAACAACCGTCGCCATCAATACATTTAATATTTCTCCAGTGAGAGTATTGAAATCATTTTATGTTCGATTTATAGATGAGTGTCGATATGTGTACGTCAGATATTTATTTAGATTATTTTGTATATATTAACACATCACTGAATATCGAACCATTTCGCATGATCACACTTGTATGCCGGGGATCGACCGATGATCAGTTATGCAATACTGGTATTCATAAGTGATTTAGTTTTTAAAAAATCCCATCAGTTTTTATCACTTCTTTAAATAATAATTACAACTGTCTTTTCAACTAAAATGCATAAACAATATCGGTAGTTGCACCATGGTTTATCAAGGAAACAAATTTGGTAAACAAATCTTGTGTCAGTATTCTTGGGATATCACACTTAAAAAGATATACTGACTTCGATGTTTGGATAGGATTTCATCCATGCTATTTGTGAGCTTATTAAAACTTTAGCAATACAATCATTAAATGGCATCTAATGTTTCATTAATTATTCTTTTTTAGAAAATGATTTGGTATTTTATACATCGAAACCTATTCAAACACTGAAAATATCTCTATCAATTTACCATGTTCAGTATAATGTTGTTATTTTCTGGGTAATATACTGTTAAAGTGACTAGGCTTTGCATTAAACTCCTCTATGGTAATAAATTTGGGTCACAGGGCTCGCTGATCCTGTGGACATTGTAGAGACGTCTTTGCCACTGACAAACATACACAGGTATAATCAAGTACACGATACTTAAGGTGCATCCAAGAAAGGCGCACGTTCTTCACACTTATAAAGCGGAAAATGGCTAACACGTCTTTTCACCTGTCAACAAAAGGCCGAATTACATCCATCAGACCTTAAACGCTAACAGTCCGGATTGGTTCTCGAGTTCCATTTAAACAGATTCATCAGCTTAAGTATTTAAATCTAAAGTTTTACGTCATAAGAAGTCAGTCAGATATTCAGAAAATGAACGGTCAATAAGTAATGGTGGATGCTTGGAATCCGACTACGAGTTTGAGGGGCGGTCAGTTTATCACAAATCACGAGCGAAGATCCTGACTGCAAGAATCAAAAGCTAACAATGTAATACATATCCGAATTTTACAACCAATATCTTGTTCAGCTTTGATATATTAACAAGTAAAGATCCTTATGTTTCTAAAACATTTTTTCTGAATGTTCAATAAAAATGTCAATTTACAGTCTGCAGTTCATCGATTTTTGATACATTTCGCTTAAATTTTAACTTAGAATTTAAACGTTTGTGTTAATATCGGACTCACAAGATTTGCGTGTATATGCTATCAAGTGCGTTATACTTTGAAAGCTTGGACTTATGACATTTCAATTCAAACACTTAGTCCCATATTGACGCAAAACTGTCAATAAATAATTAAGAATTCATGTATCATACAAACATAAAATACACATGAATAAATAAATACACCTAAATAAATATATTGATATACCCGAATTAAAAATCGATTTTAAAACAGAATATTTACAATTAATTGTATAATAACTCAGAGTAAAAGAGAAAAAAAATAGAGTAAATAAACATTACAACAAATTGTTTTCAGAACGATCTGACATATTTATTTTAACTGGATACAAAATGAAAGTTCCTTATGTTTTCTTGAAACGCTTACCCTGCAAGAATACCGCGTTAATACATGATTGTATTTACTGGATAGTAACATTCCTTATGTTGTCCCGAAACGCTTTCCTTTCTGGAATACTGCGCTAAATACATGATTGTGTTACGAACGTAATGGACGTCTCAACTTATGATACGATTTCTGATAGATCGATCTCATGTCGTCATACAGTGAGATATTGACTGTAGATATATTTCATGTCGTCATACAGTGAGATATTGACTGTAGATATATTTCATGTCGTCATACAGTGAGATATTGACTGTAGATATATTTCATGTCGTCATACAGTGAGATATTGACTGTAGATATATTTCATGTCGTCATACAGTGAGATATTGACTGTAGATATATTTCATGTCGTCATACAGTGAGATATTGACTGTAGATATATTTCATGTCGTCATACAGTGAGATATTGACTGTAGATATATTTCATGTCGTCATACAGTGAGATATTGACTGTAGATATATTTCATGTCGTCATACAGTGAGATATTGACTGTAGATATATTTCATGTCGTCATACAGTGAGATATTGACTGTAGGTATATTTCATGTCGTCATACATTGAGATATTGACTGTAGATATCATTTCTCTCGTTTTGATTTCTCATAGAATTCTTTAGCACTCTGCTGTTAAACACAGATTATCAATATCATCTCATAAAAACCCTGCCGTCAGTTGTTTATTTCATGTTAAATTTCTTTTATGTTTACTTGCATTATAAAATATAGTTTTCTCTCAGCCCAGCGTATAGACATGATGCGTTAATATCTTCAAATTTAACAGAATGGTAGTAACATAAATAACAATTAATACAAACTTAATATTTCTGGTCTATTGATTTAGAATGACAAAGTAAAATCACTTCACAAGAAAATGAGTGTGTAATGTGTAATTTATAATTTAGAATGGAGAAGTATTGATGCAAATACATGCAGAATTTGGCTAGAGAGAAAGCATAAGCATAAAAACATAAAGAAAAAGTGGAATTCCGACTCTATACAAATATTATATCAACGATTACAGTAATTAACATATTTAGTAAGCCAGGGTCCTTTCCATCACTTCAGTGGATTTAAATGTACACGGTGTTTCGGAAGATTCTTTTAATTAAAAAGATTTCATCGTTCAAATATAAATGTTGGCGACGTTTGACCATTGAGAACGATACTAAAAATTAAAAATATACAAATATACAAAAAATAAAACAAAACACATGAAGATGGATTATCGAGGCCTTTTGCTGCTACACAGCTCTTCGGGAGAACGATTTTATTTTGAAGGAACAGTTAATCTACGTCAATATATAGCAGATATATACTTAATACATAACCCTCTGTACATACATGTATCGTAGGGACATCGGGGAGAACAAAAAAGGGAGTTTACGGTAGTTTTTTGATAATCGAGAATTGGTTTTCTTGTGGTGTTTTTTTTGTAACTTTTGTATCATTTTCCTGTCAACGGGACTACCATCAATTTTGGTATATATCTATATATTATTAAAAGGATTAAATATCGATGTGAAGTAAGTAAATATAGAAGAAAAAAAACAGATTTAACGACCGACTAAAAAACTAGCTGCTTTCACCCTTCACATGGCTCTTCATGTTTAATTCAAAAGAACTTCGTGACGTCTTAATTACATGTCATCACACTACAATAGTAACGTGACGTCACGAAGTACACAAGATTGGTGGACAAACTAGTGTAAAATTTGACTGTGGCCTGTTGAGACTTGGTTTTAATATTTTGATTAATTGATCGTCTTTTTTTTCTCTTAGAATAGTGTCTGATGAAAATAGTTGATACAAAGGTAATACATTAAATGTACCTCCAGCACATTAATGAATATGTTTGTTATATAATAAAATAAGGATTAAATGTCCATGTTTGATAAAAAAAAAAAAAAAGGGGGGGGGGTTAACAAAACATATTCATGAATGTGCCCCTTTACAAGACAGGAACATGAACATTTTCATATCACAACATAAAACAGAGATAAACAGTCACCATGAAACAATAATACAATACAAAATACATTAACATACAGCAGTTACTTATATAAAATTTGCTGTTGTTAATGCATATCCCCTCGGTTAGCTTGTAACCGAAGGCTAACTACATATGCATAAGTCGCATAAGTAATAACGACAGTATTTATCTTTGTTATATGTTGTGATACGTAAGTGTACAGGTTTCTGTCTTGAAAAAGGGACGGATTGCCTTGATGATTTGACAAATTTCTTTGTCAGTACTGTAGTTATTACCTCTTTGCCCATATATACAAATGTAGATTCATATTTTATATGAGAGGAATTGACTATGTTCGTCATAATACGATTGGTGTATGACGTTGATGTGGGAGAACCGTACTGAAAAGAGCAGAATTCATTTTTAATATATTTGGTTGTTGTTCCTTCAATACACTCGACTTAATAAAATACCTTATATTGATTTATGTTCAACAGAAAAAAAATGTTTGCTATCGATAGATTTATTTTACGATCCGCATAAATACAGTTATTATCATAAACCTAACAGTATATACTTGATAAATGAATAAAATCGTGAGTTGAATTTGAAATAAACATTCACTGCAGACATACAAAACACTGCAAATGTTTCAGTCAAAAGAAGAAGGAATATTTTATATGAGCTTTGAACTAGACGAACTATAAAATGTTTTTGGGATTTTTATCAGCATTAGGAGAGGTAAATATTTCAAGCAGACTTACAACATTATCTTTGTAACATTTACATCAGTGTTGCTATCCGAATGTTAATGTATTCCGCTAATAAACTAAAATAGATAAGTGCTTATAATGCAGTAATTGTTTTTTGAATACCTTTTTTTTAAACTTTTCAATGATATAATATTCTTTGAATTTATTTTCACACCTGTATACTTCCAAACTTGAATTTTCTGGTTCGTAACAGGTTCTGTGATTGGTTAATTAGACCCAAAAAACAGGTGTTAATATTAGTATGAACGGCTGGTTTTGTCAGAATCACCATTTTTCATTAAGCAATTGAATTGTCGTTCGAGTTGTCTCCCATTGCATAAACTACACTCGCTGTGGGGAAAAAACTAGAATCACTTTTTATCTATCTATCTATATGTTATACACCACAGAGACCGAAATGGCTTCAATGCGGAGTGGGTTAAGTACGCATGTGATATCATTATTGTTTTATTATCAAATCTTTGTCTTATTGTTGTTGTTTATCAGAAGTTTTAAACATAAGATAGGTTCAAACTACAGTAAACCATATTTACACGTAATGTCAAGTTCTATCGTATGACGAATCGATGATATCAATCGGACAAAGCTGGAACTGACAAGGTATTTCGGTGTCACACATGGGACTGCACACAGTGATCAAAATAGTGGCGATAT